TCAAATTTCTTTATTACCGTATAATAAGCTAATAAAATACAAGCTATAAATAATAACCTATAAAAGCTAATTTATAGCTTTTATAACATTATTCATATATTCAATAAATGGAAATAAATTATAACATAATCAGCTAAACGTCATTTTACGGTTATTTTATGTAGAATGCTACAATTACATATGTGACATAGTTTAATCTTTTGTTTCGTAAAGTTTGATTCCCTAAAGATAATAAATGCTTCATTGTTTCATAAACAACTATTCATGTCTTTAATTTTTATAGTTTCTGCATGTCATCTTACTGCAATTAGCTGACAATCTAAAATCCAGAAAATTCCAAAATCCGGAATCACCAAAGTTCCAACGTTCTGTAATGATCTAATATCCAGACCTCTGAGCTATCAACCAAAACAGTAATAATTAAAATAAAAAAAGAAGAAAATATCCCTCTCTTCTTACAAAATATAGGTATGGAACATATAACACTCAACAAAAAGGAGCAGGTGTGCCTTAAATGTGATTTTCTCATGACTAACTAAGGTCACGTCACTTTCAAATATCTGGTATTGTATCCATGATGGCCAGGATCGCACTGTCGTCCCTTGAGTGGTTGTAAAAGAGCTGGTGCTACACATTTGCCACTCTGTGCGATCTCCATGGGTCTTAAATTCTGCTGTCTTGTACCTTCCTAAATTAAAAAAAAAAATTCCTGTGCTTTATTTCTACTGCACTGAACTACCCCCTTTCCGAGGCATTCTACCACAGAATTGGAGCAGACTTGCAGAGTTAGCATGACAAGATTATACCTGCACCAGTACTGAAATTCTTTTGTTTCACCCAATTCTACCTGTACCTCTATTACCATCCAGTGCCTAAATGTTAAAAGTTTGCCATCCCTAATTTTTGCTGCTGGATGCTCCTCCAAATTATAAAACTTTAGCTGCGCTTGCTGTGGCACCAGTCCTGTGGGAGATTAGCTTTGTAGTGTAAACAATGAGCGAAGCCACAGTGTAGTAGACAGTAGTGTTTCCATATCTACCTGTCAGTTTTCTAGATTGACACTGCTTTTCAAAAATCTGGAAATTTCCCAAATCCAGAATCGTGAAAGTAGTACTTGCAATTCCAGATTTCAGACTTGGTACTGATATAAGCATGTGCACTCTCCGAGTGACTTTAGAGATAAGCTATTAATGGTAAATAAGGAGGATGGCAACTACATGCAGCTTTAATACTTCACAGTGAGCCTTCATATGTAAATGAGATTATTGATATTAGCTTGTGGCAACAAATATCATTCTTCTAAAAGCTATGATTTTAATGCTTGGAAGTTCTTGGTGTTGGCTTGTCGCAATAACTTTCTTAGCTTAAAGCTTTTCAAGGATGTTGCAAACGTGTTCAGTGGAATTTAGGTTCAGTGATTTTGCTGGCCACATCATATTGTTAATACCCTTTGCTTCTCAGATGGAATAGTGGCTATTGTCACTGACTGTTGTACTAAAGAAGGCTCAGATTCAAATCCCAGAGAATGTATGGATGTTTGTTAGTAAATACGTAGCGTATTCGGAAACTAAGTACCGTTTCATTCGAGCGCTGTCGTAGCGCTGTGGTAGGCGTCCCGCGCATGCGCACTAGTCTTTCTTGTTCACTGACTTTCAATTGTCGCCATTTTGGTTGCTCTATGTTGTGTTTTCAGTTTGCTGTGCACATTCAAAATGTTTAAGACAATTAGTTCTCCCGCTGACTGTGAGATTCGTGCCGTGATTAAATTTTTGAACGCGAGGAATGTTAAACCGGCCGAAATTTATCGTCAAGTGACAGAAGAAGTTTACGGTGAATACGCGATAAGTGATGGAATGGTGAGAAAGTGGGTAAGAATGTTTAATGCAGGTCGAACAAATGTCCACGCCGAGGCTCGGAGTGGGCCTTCTGTTGTCACCGATGATTTGGTAAGGAAAGTTGATGAAGCAATTCATGAGAACAGACGCTTCACAATGACAACTCTTTCAGAGGCATTTTCACAAATTTCACGTACTGTTTTGTTCGAAATTGTGTCTGACCGCTTGAATTATCGCAAACTGTGTTCCCGATGGGTTCCAAAAATGCTCACTGATGTTCACAAAACAAAGCGACTTGGTAGTGCCCTGACATTTCTCACGCGGTACAGTGATGAGGGAGAAAACTTTTTAAACCAAATTGTGACAGGTGATGAAACTTGGGTGTGTCATTTCACACCAGAATCGAAACAACAATCGATGGAGTGGAGACACACTCATTCTCCGAAAAAAAAAGTTCAAAGTGACAATGTCATCACAAAAAATCATGTGCACTGTCTTCTGGGATAGGAAAGGCGTTTTGCTTACTGAATTTCTTCCCAGAGGTGAAACCATTAATGCGGCACAATATTGTGAGACTTTAACAAAACTAAGGCGTGCCATTCAAAACAAACGAAGAGGAATGCTCAGTAAAGGAATTGTGTTGCTCCATGACAATGCTCGGCCCCATACTGCTGGTGTCACTCAATCGTTAATTCGACAGTTTCATTGGGAGCAGTTCGATCACCCGCCGTACAGCCCGGACTTGGCGTCCGACTATCACTTGTTCCTGCACATGAAGCGCGAGCTTGGTGGCAAGCGCTTTGGATCTGACGATGACACGAAAAAATGCTGTGGAGTCGTGGTTATCGAAACTGGCGGGAAGTTTCTTTGACGATGGTATACAAAAACTGGTCACCCGCTATGACAAGTGTTTGATCATTGGCGGAAACTATGTTGAAAAATAGTTTAAGACATGTATTTTCATGTAAAAATAAAATTGGATTCGAAAAAGTTGTTTTACTATTTTTTTTTCAAAACGGTACTTAGTTTCCGAATACGCCTCGTAGTATCTGTGTGGAAGGGGGCCCTCAAAATACATGTCGAGTCAAAATCCTCTTGAGAGGTTGGTGATAGGGGAACAGGGGTGGGAAATAATCAGATCACTCCCTGAGGTGCTCTCTGTTGAAATTCCGGACAGGCAGAATCTCAATAAGGCCCAGCAATGATACAGGTGCTGGCCTTGCTTCAACTGGTGCCAAACCAGTACAGTAGTTAGTGATGCTGGTTGCTGTATTGATGGGTCTGGATTCGAATCCCGGAGAAGGCATGGAAGTCTATAAACGTATAGTGTCTGTGCAGGAAGGGGGCACTCAAAGTACACAGTGAGCCAAAAGTCCTTTTGAGAGTTTGGTGGCTGGGGGAAGGATGTGGGAGACATCAAACTGCCCCCCATGAGTCTTCTTCAAAACTGGGGCAGAAGCTTAATATTTAGCTAGGTTTGACAATAACTCAAACACTTGTGGTACTACAGAAGTACTGGCCGAACTTCTACCTGTATTGTTAATACCCTCTTCCTCCAACTAGTCGAGCATTTTGGAGCATTGCATCATTTCTTTTTTGCTCTCTAAGAAAGCAGGTTCAAGAACTTCATCTCTACAGAGCTGAGGGGTCTTAGTGCTATCACCGAATATATACAATGTACAAACATTCAACATGATGTCATGCAAGGATTACACTTCCACCAAAATGATTGATTTCCCTTATACTGTTGGGATCATAGATTTAAAAAAAAAATGGAGACCATCAAGCACTAAGTATCCTGAATCTTGACTCTTCAGTGAAGAATTTGGGGTCTCAACCTTATTGTGCCCAAGAATGGTGCTTAGCTCCATGAAAGACAGACTTTCTTCTGGGTCTATTCAGACCTTCTGGGTCTTACCATTTTCTCAAAATTTAAGTTAGAACACTTTATTTTAAAATTTACTGTGAAATTTGGGCCTGTTTAAGTGAGATCAATTTCTTTATGTCTGGTCATATTTCACTTAGCTTTAATGGTAAATTAGGATCGACTTTTAATTTTGTTCTGTATTTCTTTTTTCAAACATAACGTGGAAGAATATCCTTGCTTACACACATAGGTTGTACAAAAAGGGAGTAAAAATTTAATATCTTTATTCAAAATGTCTTTAAATTCTTTTTTTCAGTTCAAGTGTGTGATTAACAGTGTTAAATTAACAAGTGTTTGATTTTTAAAGTCTTTAGTTAGAGTTTGATCACAGGAAATTTCTATCATTTCTTCTTTTCTTCACAAGATTTTTGAATCTAATGGTTAAAAATACTTCGTTTCTTTGCATACCGCCTATTTTTCTCTTGCGTACCACTGGCTGAGAAGTATCATGCCTCCTGGATATCTTGACTGATTATGTTTAGAGTTGGTACCATAACCTGGATACCACTGTTCAAGACACACATTATGACTCACATTAGCTTATCAAAGACCGAACATCTCCAATTCATTATCTAAATGATTGTGAGAACTCATTTTAACCAAAATCAATCAGTTCTGCAATTTTTCCAGCAAGAAACAATTTCAGAGCTGAATTTCGCTGACTGAGAAGCCAGTCACTCTTATGTTTTCTTAATAAACATATTCTGTTAACCTTTTAACACCATGCTTACATTTCATTAACCATTCCTCAAATTATATGTAGCATTAATTTTTATATTACTGGAAGCTACTTTGAATTATTGTAATAAAAAAAAATTGTTTGCAACTTTTTGTACTTTTGAGCACCAAAAGTACACATGCAAATTCAAAATGTCAATAACTATTAAAAAACATTGTATTTGACATTCAGTTTAAATTCTTAATATTATTTAAATGTATGTATATATTTTTTTGAATGTTTCTTGAAATATTTATATATAAGTGTATAATTTACTTGAGGTTAATGGCATAATGCATGCTTCTTTTTGTAATACATAAGCCTATATATACTCTGAAAATACAAACAATTGTTTAAGTGGATATTCTGAAATTTAACTGTCTTTCTATGTCAAGCTTGAATAAATTGGTTTATTTAAACTTGTATTTTCTGTAAATATGTCAAACATTAATTTACATGTATGTATTTTAAATTGTAATGAGATATTTCTTTTTACTTATGTACATGTTTGACATTTTAGGGAATAGTACAGTTAATTTCATTCAAATCAAAATACAAGATGTAGATATATGGATGGGAAAATTTTCATTAATTGAAGACTATTTACTGCAGAGTATTGATGTGTGTGAAACATGGATTGATGCATGTCAAAAATTAACTGCTCTTTTATGGCCTAATTACTCTTATCCATGGAAAAAAGGTGTTTTCGTACCATCTTATTTACTTAATTTTTGCAAAAGATTAAATGAGGTGAGTATAAAACACATACTTCTTTAATTTATTTCATTTTATGAAAGTTTTGATTTGCAATGCACTGGATGAGTGATTTTTTTTTTTTTTTTTTTTAAGTGCATTTTTTGAAATTTGCATTCTATGTAACTTGCAGAATTGCAAATATATTTTATGATTGATCCAACAGAATTAGCAGCAACTGAATACATAAGCATTAAAAGCATATCTTAAAAACTCAAAGTATTTATTATATTTTTCAAAACTTTTGTGTATTTGTGTGTGAGATTTCCCCCTCTCTTGCCATGAGTAGAATTTGATTTTGTTTAAGATTAAAACTTTGTATTCAGTTCTCAATTAGTAATTTCTTAGCAGGTCAAATTATCTGAAAACAGTAAATACACCACTTGATTATTAAATCTTTATTTTATTTATTTTTAATTCTGTATCTAATTCATAAAATTTAAAATGCATTTATTTTATGATCTCCATCTTGTAATTTTGATTAACACTTCCAATTCTAATTAATAAAATCTAGTTTTAAAGCCATATGTTTCATAGTTTGGTGCACAATTCTTGGGCTCTTAAATATTACTGTCATTCACAGCTCAACTTGCCATTTGGTATTGCATTATTTTATATGGAATGATAATGATGTTATATTTATGTAATGTCATATTTATGTAATTAAAATATTAGTTAAAAATAAAAATCATGCAAAATTTAAAAAAAAAAAATTTTTATGAAATTGACAAAGCTTAAATTCTGGCCACTTCTTGTATTGGTATGCTAATCCATAGCCCTAAATACAACAATTTAACAACATTGTGTTTTAGGCTTTGATCAGTCAGTACAAAGCTTAACGAAAATTGGTGCAAGTTAGAAAGTATTTTTGCTACACTTTTAAGGATCTTTTGTATTTTTTAATGAACTGCATAATTATTATTTTGCAATTTAAAGTTGTAACTGATAAAAAAAACTACTTTTCATCATTACTTTATTAATAGGAATTGCTATAAAATGTTCTATATGTTGCAAATAGATAAATATATTTATAAAAAGTGTAATTATATGCATTTTGTTAAAGGTTTAAAAATCACATTGCTCACATGTCATAAAAGCATTTACAAAATAAATGGATGCCATTATTTAGAAAACAGGGGAGGTTGGAAAGGAAGAGAAAAAGAAAAAGGAAAGAAGAAGAAAAGAAAGGGAAAAAAGTCATAAGAAGATCATTATTTGCTTATATATTTTATGTGATTTTTGCAACTTTGGGAAAATGTTTATAATCGCATGTTTATTTATTTATCTTTATTTTATTAACTCACTCATTAACTTTTTTTGTGACAAAGGGAAATCTTAAAAACATTTCTGATTATGTGTTAAAGATAACTGAAAATGGGGCTAAAAAATGTAGCTTTTGAAAGCTGTACTTTTTCTCTGCGACAAACAAGTGATTGTGTCTTACAAAAACAAATATTTATATATTTATTTTTAATCCTTTAACTTTTTTTTACTTATTTATTTTATTTTTATAGCACACAAATGTCCCACCCAGAAATTTCTAATTATGTGATAATTTTGGTATTTTTGATAAAATTTAGCTTTTAATAGTTATTCATTTTATCCATAAGAAGCGGCAGTTTCCTGAAAAATCATCAAAAGCAAAATAAAGATAATTTTTACTTTGGCAGTTTTTTCTCATCCAAAGCCCGATGTAATAGCATTTTTTTTTAGTAATTTGTGTATATATATATATATAACTGCAGTCAAATCATTGTTAATGATGACAATTCCCATATTATTTTATTAATATTGTACCTGATAAAAATTTACAGAAATTTATGTTTCTTTTTTAATATATGCTTATTAATTTTAAGTATGCTTTTCTTCACATAGCTTCTTGTTCTGAGAAGTGTTCATAGTCAAGTGAACAATCTCTTAAATCTTGAAGAAAAGTCTTCATTGGGTATTGAGAGAGCCCTAAAACCTTTGACTGCATTAAATCCTTTAAATTACAATCCATATACTGATGTTTTGTGGCAGGCTTCTGTAGCACAGTATGAGCAGAATATGATACCAGCTAAAAAAAAAGTTGCAGCTAAATTGCGAGATCAGTTGCGTTCCTCTCGAGCCAATCCTTTGCAGGTAATTTTCTGCTTTTTTAAAATTAGTTGAAAACATTATTTCTGTCTTTTTTTTATGAGCATTATTTTATTATCTCTTCAGTTTTAATGGAACATAAGAATAAGTAAAATAAATTAGGCATAAAATCATATTTTTATTGATATATGCAAAATATTTCTATTATTATTTTTGAAAATTCATTTCTAACTACAATATTGACACATATCTTGATATAAGAAACCTAAAAGAATTCTGAATATTCATTTTTTCTTAATAGAAAAGATCTTATTAAAGTAGATATTGAACCGTGTAACATCCTGGAAGCCTTGCAGGACGATCTTCTTATGTTTTATGTTTGATAGTGTTTTTAATTAATGTGAAAAGCATATGTGTCCTGAAAACTCTTCATGAGATGAATCAAAAGAATAGAAAATTGCATAAACCATCTTCAGCGAGAGCTTTGCCTGATAATATCTGGAAAACATCTGAAGAGTTTATCTAATAATAAATATTTGATCAGTTATTTCAATGGTAGGGTGTTCTGATATGAGACCATACTGATCCAAAATTATTAGTTATAACTTGTATTATAATATTCTCTGAAACATTTTAAAAATTCATTGCATATAAACTATGCAACAAACAACATATTTTTAAGAGTGAAATAAAGGTAAACTTTAAGTTAGTAAGTTATTGCTTTGCCGTTTAGGTTAAAACCGGTAAAGGCATTGCATATTTTTCAGCTTTCCTGCTTCTCAAAAAATCCTAATGTCTCTACAAGTGGCGCCTGAACTAAAAAGGGTGTTGGATGATGATTCTTCTCACCCAGGATTTGGCAACTGGGTCCCCTAAAAACCCCAGTTGCCCTTTAAAAGGGGGAATCTCCCACCTTCTCTGCGAGCCTTCGTAGTGTAGTGGTCTTCATGCTCAGCACGTGATTGAGAGATCCATGGTTCGACTCCCGGCGAAGGTGTTGCTAATTTTTCATCTTGCCTGCTTCCAAAAATACCTAATGTCTCTACAAACTTATTACTTTACAAAAACTTAATATCACCTTTGCTAATGAGGCGACTACCTTTGTATAAGATTCTTATGTTAATTAACCAGTTATTATTATTTTGATCTGTTAGGTGATTAGATACACATTATATAAGATGTGGAACCTTTTGAAGATGTACAGATTTTTGTAGAATTTCTGCAGAAATCTCTACATATCTCTATAGAATCTCTATATATGACTATAAAGAAATGCAAATTTTATGTTTCAGTATTAAAAATTAGATCAGATTTTTGTTTCATTTGTAAAAACCAGCCCACCAGCGGCTGAGCGGTAAAGTGTGATTTTAAAATATTATTGAATTCTTTCAAAACTCTTACATAGTTTATAGAAAATTGAGCCATAATCCTAAAGGATTCTAAAGAAGTTTAACATTGGATTTTTTTATATATACAATTATATAAGACCGCAAGAGTAAATCTGGGGTGTTGGCTTCTTCTGTAGCAGTTTGCTTCAATCAGCTTGACAGAAATTTAATTCGCGAAATTTTTCTCAAGATGAGAACTGTGGAAGTCAAAATTATGCACTGACTTTGTGTGAAGCACATCCATACCTGTTATTGCAAGTAAAGACATGCAAATTGATCTACATCATGAGTGGTAGAGAACGAAGCAGAAGAAGAAAAAAAAATCGCATAGCTTTGAGTTCACATATTACTGAATTATATTATGTTGTATTACTGAATGCATATTTATAATTTCGGATAATATTTTTTCTTTTTCTCACCCAACTGGTATAGTAGTTGGCATTGCTCACTACCGTATCAAAGGGCTCGTGTTCGAATCACAGAGAAATTATGGATGTTTGTAAATGTATAGTGTTAGTGTGGCATGACGGCACTCCAAATATGCGGCGAGCCGAATGTCCTCTCGTGTGGTTTAGTGGAAGGGGAGAGGAGTGGGATACCCTCAAACCCGTTCCCCTTGGGGGTTCTCCATTAAAATTGGGGGTAGAACTAACTCACACTGTCACCTGAATGGTGCTCAAGATTGCTGCCAATGGCAGGCATAATCTAGCGCTCCTTGCCACAAGGAATTTCGTGGACTTGGGATGACTACATCAGACAAGTGAGCATAAGCAACAACAATATTTTTTCTTTCTTATTATATAAATTAATGATGAGTTGTTTGTAAGATATTTAAAGTCTCTAATAATCTTATTAATGAGATTATTAATACTATATTATAATTAATAATAATACTATATTAATAATGATTAATAATAGATAATTATTTTACAGTTAACTCAGGAGTTTAAAAGATATGAACATCTTATTAAACAGCCTGGCATCAGAGAAGAATTAACAGCTGAAAGGTAATTATTCATTTTTTCTCTTTTTGCTTTATATGTCTTTTATAAATACATAAAGAAATGCAAATTTTATGTTTCAGTATTAAAAATTAGACTAGATTTTTGTTTCATTTGTAAAAACCAGCCCACCAACGGCTGAGCGGTAAAGTCGCTGAACACTGGTAGTTCGGTCCGAGGTTCAAATCCTGTGAACAGGCTGGCTGCATGGGCATTTTCGTGGTCTTCCCCATGTGTAACGTGTATATGAGCCAGTTTCCCTTAGAAAGTCCTTCACAAAGGCATTCCTCCCCTTAGGCAGATAGCCCTCGAGGCTTAATCACACACACACATTTGTAGAAACCAGGAAGGTATCCACGCGATCCTCGTCGTCCATATCACATTGAATAATCTCACATTAATTACATATAAATGGAACTGAATTTCAGTACTGCAGGTGAAAATTGCAATAAAGTTTAATGAATCCTAGTTTTTTTTTGTGCCAAATTGAATATTAATTGTTTAAAAAATTCAACATGTGTTTGAATAGAAATGACTTAATGCATTTCAAGACATAAAAGCCAGTAAATTCGTATGAGAATTACAATATAAATTGCAATGGTTAAATTTGTTTCTTGACAACAAAATTTTAGTTTAATCATACTTTTAAAGAAATTTTTCCTAGCCTATGCATTTGCTTGAGATTGCAGATAGCTTATTTTAAATAGCTTTAGCTTTTTCCTAGCATAGTAACAGAAGAATAGCTTCCTTCTTCCCATCCTTTCATTTCCATTTTTTCTTCTATCTTTTATAATGGAGAAATGCAATTAATACCCTTCAGTTTTTTTGGAATTACAAACTCGTGGTCAGTTCATAATTTGCAGTAACTCATTTTGAATAAAATAATCTGTGTTGATATCATACACCTCTTGATTAAAAAAGTGAATGACTAAATAACATAATAATAATACTAAAAATTTTAAAATATTAATAATTGAATGTTTTAGAAGCATCTTATTGTTTTAATAATAATTTTTGAAGAGTTTTAAGCGTTATTGAAGGTGAAGGAGTTAAGGCAACAAAAATCAGCATAATATTAATAAATTTGTAGGATAAGTGTCAAACATTTAAATATAAAACATTTTCCTTCAGCTGCAGAAGGGCAAACACCGAAAGAGTAGCCTGTGTGGTGATAACAATGAGACAAATGAAGTCAAACTACTGGCACCATTTATTGGTAAAAAATGAAAACAGCTATCAAATAAATTTTCTTAAAAGCTGAGGGTAAAGGTGGATTGGAATTGAGATCATTAACTAGAACGATCCCAATTAACTAGCTCATCTAACTGTCTAGATCATTAACTAGGATGATCCTAGTTAACTAGTTCATCTAACTATCTAGATCATTAACAAGGTCTAGATCTAGATTGTTAACCAGATCTAATCAGTTAACTAGTTAGATCTAGTTCATGAATCCCAGTTTCATTCTATCTTTATCTCAGCTTTTAAGAAAATTATTTCATAGTTGTTTTCTTTTTTCATCAATAGCTGGCACACTTTCTCTCACTGTTATTGCCTGAGTTAGCATGGGTTCTGTTTCATCGTTTGCATTTCTGTAATGAAGAAGAAGGTTCTACCTTCTTGAGTAGTCTTAAAAATTAATGAATATGACCCTGAGTCCTGTTGCTTTAACACCTCCAAAAATTGTTATTCAGTATGTTATTTTAACTCAGTTTTAAGTACATTAATTAATTGAATGTTTTAAAGGTTTCTTTTTATTTAATTTATCAATTTTAGGCTTGTAATGCTCAATGTCTAAGTCATCTGTTTGTAGAAGTTTCTTGATGGGCCTAATTTTAAATAAATTTGACCTTAGCACTATTGTTTACCCATAACACATTTTTTTTGCATGTTTGCCTCACTATGCTAACTCATATCGCCCTGCTAAAAATAAAAAATAAACAAATAAAAAGCTTTTTTTTGCTCTTATGTATATTGTTGTCTTAAAGCATTTTTTCTTCAGAATCTTTGCTCTCTGATAAACTTAGTTATTTAAATCAGTTGCTATTGATAGAAAATTTTCTTTTACAGTCATTGATAAAGCCTTTAAAAGATTTTTGTCTTGCCTTCCCAAACTGCATTCTGCTATTAGAAATAATCATAGCAACCATGACGTTATCTTACTTGATTCTTCTATTAGTTACAAAATTGCTCGAATTCTATGCAAATGAAAATTTCAGATCATTTTTTCACCTGTCAGTAAAATTTGTTGTTTGATTTTTAAAAATCCCATCTCTGATTTTTTAATTTTTATGGAATATACAGCATGCCTTGTTAATGGGATTTATGTACAGGAATACCTCGCTTAGTATTGTTTGTTGATTGGTTATTCTAAAGTACCATAATAAATGAATCCGCATTGAGTGAAACACTATTTCTATAGGAAAATCAGTAACTTGTTCCTATCAAATTTTGTTAAACCAAAAATATTTATGTATTCACCGAATATTAAGGAAAAATAATAAAAGGGTAAAAAGTAAAATATGCAACAGAAGACGTTTACTGTTTACAAAATCAAAACGAAAAGCATTATTCTTTAACCAGAAAAATCAGTTTAAGTTTTTGCACCAATTTTTATTTTCTTTGTTCATTATGTGGTAACAACGAATTGCATTTTCTAATTTTACGTTGTTTTAAGGATCCTTTTTTTAATTCGGATCATTTTCTTCAATCATTTCACATGTGTAAGCAAAATCACTGTAGTAGAGATCAGTTGCTTCAGCATGCATAAGAAAAAATAAAGACACAACATATATGGTATTTCTCCCACTTCCCTAGCGTGCCTTCGTGGTGTAACGGTAGCACGCTGGGTCGGTATACCAGAGATCCGTGGTTCGATTCCCGGCGGCGTTTGCTATTTTTCAGCTTTTCTGCATCTAAAAAAACTTCATGGCTCTACAAGTGACGCCTGAACTAAAAGGGTTGTGGATTATGAGTCTCCGCACCCAGAATTTGGCAACTAGGTCCCCTAAAACCCTAGTCGTCCTTTAAAAAGGGGAGTATATAAGGTATTTCTTCCACTTCCCTAGCGTGCCTTCGTGGCGTAACGGTAGCACGCTGGGCCGGTATTCCAGAGGTCCATGGTTCGATTCTCGGCGAAGGCGTTTGCTATTTTTCATCTTTTCTGCCTCTAATAAAAACATAATGACTCTGCAAACATATCTGATGGGAGTTTAGAGCAGAAGTAAAGTTTTATTAGATATGCATAAATGTACAGATAGTTACAAAAGTTTATATCAGTAGTATCTTCTATGGGCTAAAAGGATATTTAAAGCTAATATTTACTTTTTTTATAACATGCTTTTCCAGTGGCAATGAATAGTACTTCTTTATTATTCAATGTGAAGTTTTTTCCGTTTGCACATTTTCTTCAGTTTCACTTTTTTCTTCGTAAGTCTGTTCTTCTTATATTGATGACAGATTCGTCGTCAAGAGGCTGAGATTCTATTTGAATACAGTCCATGACATTGGCAAATTCCGGTAAATCAAAGCCTAAATCATGTCCGAGTTTCACAACTTCTGCTAAGATTGCATCTATTTGAAAATCAAAGCCGCAAAATCATTAGCGCAACGAGACAAAATATATCTCCTCACGCTTCTCATATTATTTTCATTCACTTCGTTCCATGCACATCCAATATTCTGAATAGGATTTCGGATACTGTAATTTTTCCAAAAATGTGATAAAAAATGGTACGTTTTTACTAGAGGTTGCTTCGATTACCTGTGAAACCGTCATTTTCAAATGAAAAGCCTTAAATGTGAAATAACTCTTTGATCCATGGGTTGTAGCATGACGGTAGTATTTGGGGGCGGGAAATGAATTCTGACATGATTACAAAGATTAGAAAGTCCAGTTTTATGACTTAAAACATTATGTAAATAACAATAATGCTTTAATGTCTGTGTTTTGTTTTTCACAGTAATTTTTAATCGAAGAGACAGAAGTAATCTTTAAACCAACTTTGAAACACTGGTTTAGTAACCCAACCATTCTTGTCATAACACCAAAACGCAGATAATGAGTTTTTAGCACATCCTTTACCTCTTTGAAGGGCAGTGGTTACCTAAAGTAACCACCTTTTCTATTGAATGTCTTACTCATTCGTGTGAGTGGTTTTCAAGATTGACCGTTCCTGAAGATCCCTTGTAGCTCACCAGATGCCAATCAAGAAACATAATCCAATCAAGTTGATGCAGCAATTCATCTTCAAGAAAATAAGCATCAGCTATCGAAGACAACATCACGACGATGTGCACTCTGCAGCACCAAGAAAAAGCCTGTAAGAAGAACAGTGAACAACACATGCAAAGTTGCACTTTGCTTGAAGAAAGAAAGAAAGAAAAAAAAAAAAAAAAAAAAAAACGCTGTTTCCATGAGTACTATAAAGACTGATTTGTAGGGATGTGTTCTGTGAGCAGTAATTAATATCATACTTCATGGGATCATTTCTATAGTATGATTAGCGAGTTCAGTCACACCAAGTTGTGGGCAGTAATTACTGACACTAACCACCAGAAGTGCTCATTCTTTTCACGCTCATTCTTGAACAAAATATGTGTAATTGTCGCAAATAATTTCATTGTAACGCTTGATATAGTAAATAAAAAAAGAGTTTTGCTGGAAAAGTTAATTCTCTTTTCCTGCCGCTTAAAGAGTTAAAGCACGAGGGTTTTCATCGCGATACACTTAATTTATATCACCAAATGCATCTCTTTTAACAGCAGGATAATTCGATCCTTTGATGCTTTATAAGCCTGGGTGAGATTGCTCTTTTTCCTGCAAACAAGTTCTAGAAGGCAGCTTCTTCCAGTATTATCTAGTTTCGTCCACATTAAAAATTTGTTCATTAAGTTAGACCTCTTCTTTAATAATTTGTTTTATTTCTTCTGAGAATTGTGACGCTGCTTCTTTATCTGCGCTTGCGCTTTCACCCACAATGTGAACGTTTTGAATTCCTGAATGT